TCTAATTTTAAGTTGCTCATTTTTCTTTGTGTAACAACTTATAAAACCGAAATGAATAATCCAAATTAACTCAAATTTTCGGTGCAGGGTTAGAATAAATGGCACTATTTGACACATTAATGACAACGGTGTCAATGGTTCTTTTCATGGCTAGGTAGATAATATTTCTAGTTGTCCTCGTAATAGCAAATCTGGAGACTATCATGATAACATGAACCAGGAAGGAAAATTTTGAAAAATGGTTCAAAGAACAGTTGATACGAAGTTTACGGGAAACTTTTCTTATTGTGATAGGATAAATAATGCAAGTTATCAATGTTACCATAGTTATTTATAAATAAATAAATAAATAGATAAATAAATAAACTTTATTTCCAACAGGTACTCAAGCACCCAATTACAGGAAAAACTAATATAAATAAGTAGTGATACTAATAAAAAAAAAACAATAATAACAGTAGCTTAATACCCTCTCAACTTAACTAGATATTTTAACAAATGACTCTGAGAATTAAAATTAATGTCGAATTCTGAAGGAACCAAATTAAAATTATTGCACATAACTACTAGAGGTGATCTTACCAGCGCATTAGATCTAGGAGACCTGGGATAGAATAACATACGAGGGTGGGGTGATTAGTGCCGGGCCTCAACAGGAATGCATTGTTTTTTTCGGTTAATTTTTATTTATTTCTCAACATAATCTCCATTTAGCTCGATACACTTAACTCAGCGATCTTCTAGAGCGGTTACACCGGAGTAATACAACGATTTGTAGAGATCTTCAAAATAACTATTTGCTGCTTTGATGTTGTCATAAACCTCTTACCACCCAACCACTTTTTGAGGTTTGGGAAAATGTGGAAGTGACATGGGGCTAAATGGGGTCTATAGGGAGGGTGGGGAACCAATTCAAATTTTAATTCATGAATTGTAGCCATCGCAATGACTGAAGTATGGACTGGTGCATTGCCCTGATGAAACTGCACCTTTTTTTTTCGGCAAATCTGGCCGTTTTGCTTTAATTTCCTGTTGTAAACGTTGTAGTAGAGTGGCATAATATTCCCCACTAACTGTTTTTCCCTTTTGGAGGTAGTCAATAAAAATTATTCCCCTCGCATCCCAAAAGATGGTGGCCATAACCTTACTGGCCGATGCAACTGTCTTCGCTTTCTTCGGAGGTTCTCTTTTTTTGGTCCACTGTCTCTAATCTGAAGGACTGCCATCCAACTACTAAACGACATATTGACATGAAATTTTTAAGGGAAGCTGATGGAAGATGAAATTATGGAATGCCATCATTATACTGATCTTATTACTCCCACATCTATGTGAGGCCCGGTACTTGTCACCCCACCCTCGTATGTTGTCTCGAATTGAGGCGCGGAACAAAAAAATTAACTTGGCCTATTGTCTTTGCCATTTCTATTGAAACACCAACTGTTGATTTTGCTTAAAATTTAGCAATTGGTAACAGCTTTCGATTGATTGACAACGGCTTTTAGTTAGAAAATTGTCTGAATATGAACGTTGCCAAATTTACGATTTAGAAGTGGTGTTTCAATAGAAATGGCAAAAACTATAGGAGTGAATTACAGTATATTTTATTATTTAATAAGTTGTATAAGAATTTTATTATTAAGAACATGCGACGTGTTTCTAGTGAATTAAAATTGAATCTCGCCAAAACAAGGTGGTAATCATAACCTCTTATGGGGTATACCCCATCAAGTATAAAAGATAAAAATTTTAACATCTTTCTTTGGATGGACTCTAAGTGATTATTATATATTTTATAAATAGGATTCCAAATGAGTGTGGCGTATTCTAATCTAGATCTAATAAATCCATAGTATAATAATTGCAACGCATTTACATTGGAAAATTCTCTGCAATTGCGATACATAAAACCAAATAGTCTATGAGATTTCGCAATAACTTCAAGAACATGCTCATTAAAGTTAAATTTGCTATCAAAAGTAACTCCTAAATCCTTAATGTTAGATACTTTTTTTAATTGAGTGTTACCAATACGATACGGATAAATCATAGTCTTTAACTTATGACTAAAAGACATAACATGACATTTGGAATTATTTAATTTCAACGCGTTTGTCGAACACCAGCAAGATACTGCATCAAGAACTGAGGACTCTTCAATCGAGTTAATTTCCACATATATTTTCAAATCGTCAGCGAACAATAATTTATTACACGAGATAACATCTGTTATGTCATTAATATATAACAGAAATAACAGAGGACCAAGGTTTGAACCTTGTGGTACTCCCGATGAGGCAATATATGGATTGGAAACAAAGTTCCTATATCTAACACATTGCTCCCTATTTAGTAAATATGATTTAAACAGTGCAATGAGGGGAGAAGTAAATCCAAATCATTCCAATTTTGTTAAGAGTATGTTATGATCTATCTGGTCAGAAGCTTTATGGAAGTCAGTATATATGACATCGACTTGACCGTTATTATCTAGCGATTCTGCAATATATTGACTGAAACATGCTAAGTTAGTGACTGTGGACCTTTTATGCATAAAACCTTGGCAAAGTTACATATGGGACGATAATTTAGGATATTATCAATATCACCTTTTTTGAAGATTGGACATACGAATGATTTTTTCCAGATGTTCGGCACAGTTGAAGTTTTTAGTATTAAATTAAAAATATAGAGTAAAGGTTTAGCGAAGATGTCAGCACAGTCTTTCAAAAAGAAGCTAGATATATCGTCGAATCCCGTCGTAAGAGTGTCTTTAGAACTCTTCAGTGCTGCGATGACTTCATCTTGGGACATATTTGTAACACTAACTGAATGAGAATACAGTGTTTTTGCTGGTATGTTAATATTGACATTAGAGGGATTGTATACACTTTTAAAGTATTCTCCAAATGCGTTGACGATACCTTCTGGAGTGGTTAATTTTTGATTATTGAAATTCATTAACCCAGGTATTCGCGTGCTTCCTTTTTTCTTTCGTATAAAAGTCCAAAATCTGTTTGAATTAACTGTGATCGATTCTTGAATTTCGAATAAATACCGCTTATGAGCTGAATAGATTAATTTTTTTGATTTGGAGCGCAACTGCTTAAATACAGCAAAGTGGTATTGAGACTTATGTTTTTTATATTGCTTTAACGCATAATCCTTGTCACGAAGACATCTGATAATGGTACCATCAGACCAATCTGGATAATTTGAACTTCATTTTGGCTTGTTGGATATTTTAGGAACAGAATCTTCGAGGATAGCGTTAAGAGTATTATAAAACTTTGTACATGCGTCATTAACATTACCAGAACTTTGCAGGAATGACCAGTCAGTAACTACCAGCTGATTGTACAGCTTATGAAAGTCAGCTTTCTTAAAGTTAAAGATTTTATTTGAACTGTTCATTTGAAATTTCATGGGCAGCACTGAGTTTGTTTGAATAAAAATATCTTATTCTGGGTGATGCGGATCCTCTGGTACTAATGATTCATTAGATCTATCAACTAAACAATTATTGGTCGAGAAAATCAGATCTATCATAGACTTGAAGTGTCAATTTAGTCTTCATACAACTTATATTGTAATAAAACTTTACTTTATTTGTAGGAAGAACTTCCTCGAAAAAGTTGGACAAAGACAAAAATGATAGCATATTTAAATAAAAATGGGATTGATTACCCAATGCCACGAAAGACCAAATCTGCGGAATATTGGCTAACAAACAACCCCAAAAACGTTATCATTTAGATTTATACGCCCAATTTCATGGGCATTGGGTATTGAAGCTGCCACCTTACCACTGTCCTTTCAATGCTTTTGAAATTCCATGGTCGAAAATTAAAAGAAATTATGATAAGATCATTGCAAGAACCAGCTCTTCCCCTAATGATGTTTGTGAAACTTAGCAAAATGTGATTGATCAAGTTCCGGCTGTGCATTGGAACAGTTACGTTAAACATACTGATAAAATAGTAAATTGTGCTTGGGAAAATGAAAAAATTTAGATATTTCAGAACAGAATGAAATTATTATTAATGTTAATAATTCGGATGATAGTGAGAATGGAAGATGATAATATTAGCCTTGGAGATTTAGATGTTGATATGTTATAACTTGAAACTTTTTCTTATTAAAGCTTTCGTTTTTTCGTTTTTTAATGAAGAAGAAAAGTCAAAATTTACCATTTTTATAGTTGATGGGTTTAACATCATAGCAGAATAAAGTAGTTTTTGATGGTGTACTGTATTCATTCAAAATAAAGTTGTTGTATGAAACAATTGAAAACAGAGGACGTATGCTACTATAGGTACTAATTAATGAGTCTGCCAACTTAAAAATTCAATTTACAAAAAATTTCTCTTACTGACTTTCTTTTTTTAGTACATACCTGTATCTTTCAATAATTGCGAAATTGAAATTTTGAAATAGCAACATATTCGTACCGTTTCGGCCACAAAATCTTGGGCAGTTCTGTCATTCCAGTGACATGGGCTCTAAAACAGGCTTTACGTACTTATAACCTCAAATGTGTCATGTTTGTCATTTTGACGTAGACTGGAATATGGATGATGACGTATGACAAAATTTCTTTTTAAAAGTGTCAATCATTATGACAATAATGCATAGACTACATCGTGTTTTTTTTAAATTACAGAAAAGCACTGCCCAAGATTTTCTGGCCGAAACTGTAACATATAAGAAATCACCTACATTATTTCTAACTGTTTTTGACTAGGGATATTTCCACGACTATGCCTACATTAACGCAAACTAAAACGAATAACTTCAATATTAGACTGCAAAATGAATTAATTCCTCTACACTGCAAACACTTAGTGTTCTCAGTGACTATGTATTGTGCTTATGTGTGTAGTCCGAATTTTAAAACCTAAGACATCTCATGACATTCGTGACTTCTTTGACTCACGTTTTGACGTTATAAACACAGACATGATTTTGACTAACGAAGTACCAGTCCAGTTCTTAGTTCATTCGAGTTTATATGATTTTTATTACCTAAATTCAACAAGACGTTTTGTTGTGGAAAGAATACGACAATATACCTTGTTCAACGCATATGGTTTACAATTTTTTTTATCGTGACCGTGATTTTATAAACATTTTGGAAAATCCGGTAGCGATTATTATTTAGGGATTTACGATACGCATATTTGGTGACGTTGTGTAATGACATTTGATATTTAGGTGAAAGTTCAAGTTCTAACTCATCCTGAACATTTTACTGTGAGTTTTATAAAAATTACAAAAAGACCACATATTGACCCTGCTGCGACGTCCGTAAAAATTAATCAACGTACCAACATTATAACACAAATACATAACCGTCGTGTTGGTCTTAAATTTTACAATCATTTGATAAACAGAAATGAGCGGAAAACACGTCTCGTATCACATTTATTAAATCCTCCGAAAGTTCAAAACGTCATGATCAAGTGAATATAAGCGCTTTATATTTATTAGAAGATAAGTGAAAGATGCGGTTTTATTTGTGTGGTTTGTGCGTTGCCTTCAGTGGTTTAATTATTTCGGTCTCTTGCACATTAACAAAACGCAGCTTCCTATACGGTAAATATTACTATTACGTAATCATTTTCAGGCACATCACTTAAACCATTCATGTCATAAAACACCAAAAAACACTTTCAGAAACACGTGTTCATAAATTTAAATCCACGTAAAACATCACGATCTTTTAAATTAATTTTGAATCAAGTGTTTACTTTAAAATTAATTAGTATCGAGATGCTGAAAAAGTCAGAATAAAAAAGAGACTGCTATAAATTCCATTAAGTTCCAAGAAGAACATCTTAATGGAAGTAGCAAACATCAATTTCCATCGTCGTCAGTGCAGAAGACTGATAAAAATGTTAATCTATTTTTTTTGTTTATCCCCTCTTCTTATTTACTAATCGTTGAACTTGCTGACTCGCTCAAGATAATTATGATCTGTACCGTCAACGAGCTTGGAAATAGTCATAATGTTTTTGTTTGAAATTTCTAATTAACAGAACAGTGGTAGTTATAAATAATAGTCAGTTGGTGTAAGCGTTCTAGCTAGCAATCTGCATTAACATGTAGAATAATAATGACTTCATGTCACATAAGCACGTGTGCTAAATCCGGTCGTATGTCAGCGTTCACCCAATCATCACCAATTTGACCCATATCAGTTCACACAATACGTTAATACACGAATTATCATTAATTATAATCACCAGTAATATTCAATGACAGTTTCAGTTCAGTCCAGGCCTAGTCCTCAGCGCATAATCCTTTCAATCTATTTTGGGAAAATATTACAAACTCTCACAAATATTCCCAAATAGCTGTTACAATATTATTAATAATAAATTAGTGTTGGTACCCGTCTATACGATTCTATCTAATTATTCATTTATGATGTGTTTAATTTCACGATAATACGAGTAATTCCGTTCATGTAAATATTTCATGGAATATCAGTTTTATCAACGAAATCACAATAATTATGAAAGTCCAATAAGTTCAGAAAAGTGTAACCAAACTACAAAAATGCACCTATGTTTCACAGAGATCCTTGCTACACAAATTACTTGCAATTTAGTCAACGTTAGTTTATTCGATCGCTACTTTAAAATATAACAGTATAACAGGCGGAAAAGGAAAAGATAAGTGTTCATATTGTGGGAAATAAGAAAGGCAAGGAAAATAATTGGAAATCGAAGATTCTTTAAAATAGCTCAACTGTATTTAGTGTGATCCATGAAAGAAAATATTTCATTTAATACATACAATATTCACATACATCAAGAACAGTAGTACAATTAGATTTAAATTACTTCGAGGATGCTAAAATCAAAATTAATAAAACCCTAGACCTACATGCAGATATACTAAATGAAATTATTAAGAATTATTCATTTAAAAAATGCCTCTACTTCTAAAGCAACCAGTAGCAGTAACAAAAATTGGTCCAAGGTTACTTCGACAGAACTTCCCTCGCTCTTGAAGTACTGTCCAACAAATTCCGCTTCTTTGAAAAATTATTAAAAAATTTTGTTTTCTGATAATCTTTACATATTAAAAACCAGTTTTACAATTGTCGTTTTGTGATAACTGCTGTAAAGTAAAAAGCAGAGGTATGAATCATACCCTCACAGCCCCTGTACCATACGGACAAAGTAAAACATATTTAAAGCACAGAACTAACGGCATAAAATGTCCTTCAGCACTAGGTAATATCAATCTGAAGCTCAAGTGTTTATTTATGTTTATACATCGAAAGAATATCACGTAGAAATTAGTTTGATTTGAATGAGTTTGTCATCTCAAAACAGAGGACTAAAATTTTTAATTAAACCACAATCGAACAAAATGTTCTTAATATTATAATTCTTATTTTATTATTAATAGATAAAGTTGTGCGTATTCGTTACATTTGCGAGAAACTGGAGTGACTTGTTCTTAATTTGACTAATAAAAAAATTGTGATGAGCTCATCAACATGGACAATACTAATCACAGCAGAAATAAAAAGTAGTCACAGCGTATTACCAATGCAGGAAAAAAATCCAGGACGGCGGACAGACGGACAGACGAACAGCCAGACGGATAGACAGACAGACAAATGGAAACGGGGTACCTATTTCTTCGTACTCTAGGGGTCATAAAAGGTCGAAAAAACGTAAAAATAGACAGTCGGCCAAAGGACTCGATTACAATACTTGCAACTATTTTTGCGAAAATTCGAACATTTATTTAACCATCTACATGATATTTCTAATATACATACAAAATTTGACAAAAATCGGTCCAGCAGACAGACAGACAGACGGAAACGGGAGACTACTTTTTTCGTACTGTAAGGCTCATGAAACGTCGAGAAAACATAAAAATGATCATTCGTCCGATGGACTTGATTACTATACTTCGTTAGCTTACGCTTGTGAAGTAAAAATTGTAAGAAAACACAGAGATCACATAAAATTTTAAATTAGAATATTAAACAATAACACAGTTGTTCTTTTATTCATTCACTACATATTTAATCCATAATGTAACATATTTATCCTTTTCGTTTTTCATATGTACCTAGCTAAGCAGTTTTGACTTTTCGATACCAATTTTGCATCACTAACACTTAATAAATATTCTTAAATGCAACGTTGTATACCGCTATTTTCAGAAAATGCACCATGCCAAAACCAGAATGAACCAGGAACCTGTACACAATTCCTTAAGTGTGACCCAGCAAAAAAATTTGTGAAGTTATACAAGACACACAATTTCACACGGTGCGGATTCGCTGGCATTAGCGAATTAATATGTTGTCCTGTGACAACTCCACTACGTTTGAATAACTTGACAAGAAAATGTGAAGATGCCTGCGAGGCATACACACAAACTTATTCCAATGTCGTATTTCCTCACATCGTAGGAGGTCAAAATGCAAAAGTGGGACAGTTTCCATATATGGCCGCGTTAGGCTTCTACAGCGAAATTAACAGCAATTACAATTTTAGATGTGGAGGTACCCTTATTTCAGATAAATATGTAGTAACTGCAGCACACTGTTTGTGGAATCTGGAGGAAGAAGAAGTTAAAATTGTTAGGTTAGGGGCTACTTCTGTACCTGCATTAGTCGACAAAATAGACGAAAAACTCGACTATAAAGTGAAAAACTACACCATTCATCCAGGGTACCGTCGACGTAGTAATATCCATGATATCGCTTTAATTGAAGTGGTTAATTCTATAGAATTGAGAGACGATTTGAGGCCAGCTTGTCTTTTTACTAACGGTAGCAACTACCCCCAAGAATTCACTATTGCTGGTTGGGGAATCGTGGATGACAGTAAGTTCAATAAGTAGTATTTTTCAGTTATCTTGCCTCAGAAACTAACAACATCTTTTGAATTATGGCCATAATATAGTGGTAAACGTATTTAAATAAAATTTCTGTAAAGGCCTGTTTTCGAACTAAAGTGTTGGATAGATCTTGAATAAAAAGAACATCAACACAATTAGTTTTCCACGTTTAGTAAACCATGGCTTTGTGATACTTCTTATAATCACGTCGTAAAATACCTCAGATTTTTTTCAGATTATACAAGAACAAATAACTTACAAGTAGCTTTTGTGAACCTTGAAATTTTTGACAACTGTGTAGACAAATATGCTAGAGCTAGGAAGCAACTGGAAGAATCGCAAATGTGTGCTAGCAGCATCAAGAGTGACATCTGTCGAGTGAGTATACATAAGAATAGAAATATTGTTTAATGAAGATTTAAATACAGGGTGATTCGGGAGGTCCTTTACTTATGAAAAATTCAGACATACCTGTCTTAGTAGGTATTTCTTCGTTTGGACTCCCAGGCTGCAGCGGTGGTAACCCTTCTGTGTATACTAGTATTTCCCAGCATTTAGACTGGATAGAAAAAATTGTTTGGCCATAAATTTAATCATTACATTTGTAAAGATCATAATGTAATTCCGTCAGTTTATTTAATAAATGTAAAAATAATACATAATTACTAACTTTTATTTAAGTATCGTTTCTGCATACGAATCTGTTTAAAACATTATTGTTATTTCTTATTATCAATTCAGGGGCGTCTGTTGTTGCATCAGTTCATCATTATTTGCTGCGACGAAGTAAATAAGACATGAATCATCCAACAATTTCAGTGAGAAAATGCAAATATTTTTTCCAATTCTCAAAATTTATTCTTTCTTTCAATAAACACATGAATCATTAAAAAAACTCATATTTTTTCCAGAATTCATTTAAATTAGAAATAATCCGGTTTGATTTGACCTCATATTTATATTTACCTATATCTCAGTGAAAATGCCACATAAAGATACACAAGATTTTGTGTAAGTTGCATAATATCACACGTTTTTTTCAAACTGTTGTGACTGAAAGAGTTGCACAAATTACAGTTGTTTTTTTTTTAATTTCAGATTCATCAAAATTGTTAAGTCTCTTTTTTATTTATTTCACATTATTCTTATTGTTCTGCGCGTGAAGTTGAATACGATTTCTTTCCCAACACCAAACCTAACGCTGAAAAGCAAAACAGCAAGGAAGTACGTAAAAACAGATAACGGTACTCTATCGATTTCTGCTTGGACATGCGGCAAATCAGCACTGAATCTAAACTATATGTTTCGCTTCGCCCAAGTGCGACATGCGGCAAATCTGCACCAAACAGTAGAGCCGAAAATCCCTCGGACGCGATCTGGATATGCGGCAAACCAGTTCTAAGGTGACGGATTATGGAATTTCATAAACAACAAAAAAGGAACGTCTAGAATTTCCAGCTGCATGACCGATGAAGAGCATAATGAATTTACTGATCCACAAGATGTTGTAAACGGATTCGCAGAAACTTTTGCAAATATACAAACTGTAAACTCCTCAACCTCCTTTTCACCTACTAATGAAAACTCTTCAATTTGTTAGCTTCCCCAGTTAGCGAAAACGAACTAATATCAATAATGAAAAACTTTCTTAATAAATTGACAGCCGGTGATGATTCAGTTCCAAATTTTTTTCTTCGAGACTGTAGATCTGTTTTTGCTTTACCGCTCTCCGTAATAATTAACACTAACCGTAACAAATACTTACCAGAACGCTGGAAAATTGCCAGAGTTATCCCCATACTTAAAAAAGGTAGTTCTCAACTATCGCCCAGTATCTATTTTATCGAATTTATCTGTGCTAAGTCAGACACTAGCCCTTTGATTGCATCTCACACAGAATTTTACTTCTTAAAGTTAGTAATTATATTTGTTACAATAGCTTCAGGTCCTATTTATTTACATCTAATAGCGGCGTTCCGCAAGGTTCTAATCTTGGACCGTTACTCTTCAACATATTCGTAAATGAGCTGCTATTATCTCTCAGTTTCCGATTCTTGCTTATGCTGACGACCTCAAAATATACTCAAAAATTTCTTGTATTGGTGATACCCTCCATTTGCAAGCTAATCTTGACAAAATCGTTCAGAGGTGTAATACTAATAATTTTGAAATTATTAAAACAAAATGAGTTTTCATACTCAATTGATAGATTTTCTATTACTAAGAAAGAGTCAATCAAGGATCTTGGTGTAATATTTGATAAATACTTAACCTTTAACTCACACATTGAACACATAGCGAACTCAGCTAACAAGTCTTAAGACTTTATCATGGGAGTATCTAAGTATTTCCGTAATGTCAACCTGATCAAAATCTGTTGTATGCTTTTATTTTAAGCAACTTAAAATACGCATCTTTAATTTGGTACCCAATATCACGCAGCATATGGTCCTGGTCCTAGATAGAATTCTGAAGAAATTCTTAAAGTTCCTATTATTTAAATGTGATGGAACATACCCAGAACGGGGTACGGATATGTTAGTTCTTCTTCAACGACATCAAATATCGTCACTTTCTTTCAGAAGAGATATTGACTGTGCCTGTTTTCTTGCAAAACTGATTTCTAATGAAATAGACTGTACAGATCTTCTTAGTAATATTATAGGTTTCAATTTTCCAGGGCGATCTTCTAGATTTGTACAAACATTCAAGATCCCTAGAGCTCGAACCAACGTTTTACGTCGTGCACCAATTTACACAATGAGTTGTTGTGGAAATAATTGTTTATAAGATATATTTTGTTAAATTGTAACTATATTATTGTTATTTTGTATACATATTTATATATTTCTACTCCTTGCCCAGTGAAGGCTTCAATATTATTCTTGAATTAATACTATTATTCTTATTATTCAATTACTTATTGTTGTCCTGTAATTGGGAAATTAATCCTCTTGGACAATAAAGTATATATAATTATTATTATTATAACGACCACATCGTACAATGAAGTGAAATTTTTGTGGCAATTTCATATACATACGTTGAGATGCATCTATTATAATGTACGTTTTCGAAAATATGCTGCATTACACGTCCAGTTAAACGAGAAATTAATTACTATACACTGAAATTAAATTAAATAGGAGGAATAACTATACCTATTCTATAATCTATAATCTATAATTATAAAGCTGAAGTGTTTGTTTAATTGAACGCGCTAATCTCAGAAACTACTAGTTTGAATTCTAAAAATCTTTTTGTGTTGGATAGTCCATTTATCGTATCTACCTATAGGCTATATAACATCTCGCTACGATCAATAGGAGCGAAGTAGCAATGAAAATTTCGAAAAAACGGGAAAATTATTCCTCCTTTGACAGCTTCCGTTGCTTACGCTGCTTAAATGGTTAAAGTTACGTAAAAATCATGTATGACGAAATTGTTCCCCTCTAAAAGTTCTAAAGAAAAGTCCCCGACAGCATATGTCTATCTTTTAAGGTCGACTCAGTATAACCTTTTTCATGGTAATGAAATTTGTTGTAAAATAATAATGCATCTATATAAATAAAAATGAATCGCCGAAACGTTTGTACGCGCATAACTTCAGAACGACTGCACCAAATTGGATGATTCTTTTTTTTTATGTGTTCTTTATGGTCAGGACAAGGTTTGTATATAAGAAAATTTATAAAAAATATGACAGCTAAAAAATCAAAAAATTCTAAAAATTTTGTATGGAAATCGCCACTTCGAATTAATTTCAATAGTTGGCGTTCCTGACGGACCTGTCGTCTGCATCGGCGTGGCAAATGACTGAGCTGTCTGTAGAGCAGCTTAGAAAACGAGTAGGATCGTTGTAAGAGTGAATTTTGACTAAACATGGCGACTTTCATGAACGTGGAACGTCGTCAAAAGGTGCATTCAGTTTGAAAAACACATTAGGAACGGGAATATCGAAAACTTTTCAGGTAATTAACTTTTATTTATGCATAAATTGTGCAGTGCGTTCTTTCTAACACTGGCCATAGAGATTCCTATCTTAAGGTGTCTACCCCATACTAACTTATATTTTGGTGACTCGATTTTTGCCTTGATGGTTGAACACTGTCACTGTTTTCCGTTTTTGTTGTATCGAGATGCTACTTGAGCATCAACTGTTACCTACTGAAGTATTAGCATCATCTAAAAAAACTAGAAATATTTTGATTTGATATTCGAGTAGATACTTCGTATTTCGAGTATAAGCATCTACTGAGTTTTATTTATATCAACCATTGTCAAAAAATTGATCGAACGTTGTTTCGACAGAACTTCCTTCGCACCAAATGTATAGTGAAACATATTCAGCATTTTCGAGTTGAGTCTTTTCTTCACACAATTTTGTGATGACCTAATTAACATTTACGATCAACACGTATACCACTTTGGATTGGTGCACTGTAATACTAAAAATGACTGTATTGTATTCCCAGAATTATCTGCGAAAATCGAATGACCCATTCCATCAATTTTTTGGGGGAATAAATAAATATTCTTAGCAATTTACCATGCTTACAATAACTTTAAAACGTCTGCAAGATCTCAAAGTATTCATTTCTGCAACTCTTGAGTTATTCACTAAAATAAATTGACTGATCCATACATTTTTTTGAGTCACTGTAAAAGCAAATCTAAAAAATATGAATGCAATGATAAATTACGAAAATATAATGATGATATTTTGCACATGTTAGATAGGATTTATTCGGCAAAATCTTGAGATGACGTCATCAAGTTTTTGGGCTTGATAAACACATATATTTTGATTAAAAACCTACCATGTCAAACAGTAACTTCAAAACGTCTGCAATATTTCAAAATTCAGTTTTGCAATTCTTGATTCAATCAATAAAATAAATTGACTCAGTGATTAATTTTTTTGGCACCCCCTATAAGCAAAACTAAAAAATATGAATGGAATGATAAATCACAAGTATAGTCTCATCCTATTTTGGACATTTTAGATAGGATTCATTTGGCAAAATTTTGAGCTGACGTCATCAATGTTTTGGAGGGGATAATTAAATATATTTTGAATAAAAATTTATTATGCTTATCATATGTTTAAAACATCTGGAAGATTTCAAAGCATTCGGTTTTGCAGATTCAAAATTAAATTGTAGGTGAAACGAAGTTCACGGGGTCAGCTAGTGTAAATATATCCACTTGTTATAACATTATAATAAGTAATAACCTAATAACATAACTCACTTTTAAGAAAACTACAAACTCAGTTTTTTGGCGGAAAATATTGGGAGAACAATAATTTTTAATACCTAGTGTTAATTCAGGCGTAGTTATTTAAACTACAATTTAAGCCTCTTTAGATGCATGATAGTATTTTTGTTAATTACTTATGCACACATAGCAATTATAACAGCATTACTGGAAAATTGTGTTTACCTCACTTTATAATACATGTTTCTAATTAAAAATGATCTCAAATACCTTAATGAGGTGCACTAAGCAATGTATAAAGGTAACAGTGTAACATACATATTGCGCAAAAAAATACAAACTTTCTTTGAAAATGGCAGCAACCAGTACAATTTCCGCACAAATAGATCCTTGCGAGGTAATCTTCAAAGAAAAAAAATAATATGATTTCATTTTAACAAAGTGTTTTTTGTAGATGATTCTATTACCTACTACACATATTACACTACCTGGACCAGAATATCGTAACATAACGAAACGACTTTCTAGTGCTTGTAATTTTTGGATTAAGTGTCCCAAAGATAAAAGGAAAGTCTATGGTGACATTGGAGATAGCCTTTTTAATATGGCACTAATGTAAGCATTCATATATTTATTTGCAGAACAGCATAATTATATGTAGTTTTGTTGTTCTTACAGAGCAGATGATATCGAAGACGAAACAATACTCCGCCGAGGAATTCCTACCGCTCACATGATTTACGGAATTCCGTTAACTCTACATGCCACTATATACAAGACGACTTTACTATTTGAAAAGTTATTATACCATTTAAAAGACGATAAGGTAATGTTATGCCAATTTTTGTAAACACATTTAACGTCAGAACTTAAAATGTCTTAGTTTTTACTTGCACATTTTACCATATTGTTCATATATATTCCTTTAGGAAATCGTCGTTGATGGGTTTATTAAAACAGGTATTGAAGCCTTCACTGGACAAGGGGTAGAAATATACCACAGGGATATTATTGAGTGCCCTACTTTTGATGATTACCGAGTAATAATTCACGGCAGTAAGTTAATAGATTACTATTTTATCAGACACACCATAAAATTGCACAGTTGGACAGTTATTCTACACCACTTCGTCTATCTCCTCAGAGTCGCAAAACTGATACAGGTACCTAGAAATTCTCTCGAACACGTCCCCTTTAAAACTGGACCTGTAAGATGATAAATTTGTACCCTTTGATATTTTCCTCTGTTAGCAAAAAATGTGCTAGAGCTTCTTCTAAAATAATGGACAGTCGCTTTGTTTTCGTTCGAAAAATTACACATAAATTTATACATAAATTTAATGGAAACCACAACGTGATTAGTTTGAAATCTGAAATTGTAGATTCCCAGAAAACATTAATGAGGACTTCAATCGAACTATTCGTATTCCTAGAAAAATATATCAAACAATTTTAGAGTAACAAGTCTAGATTTATGGTGATTAGTATATTAAAATTAACTTTACGAAGATTTGTTTTTGATTTTTTTTAACTCTAAAACTAAGAAAGTAAATCCCGTCACATTGATGTTATGTAATGCATGGTTTTACGTCGCTTTCGTATAGTATTTTTATTGATGATAAATGTAACAATAAAATTTGCACTTTTTTGTTTCTTCTTTGTTCCAGAATCCGCTGCTATCTTAATCTGGGGTGTCCAATTGCTACAACTATTTGCCAAGAAGAAAAGAATTGACTTTAGTGCTGATTTTTGGGATAAAATGGTTCATTTCATTCAGATATATAATGACTATATAAATTTACACAATCCAAAGGTAATAAAATGAAATCATTTATATAGAGTTCTGAATCTAGAATAACTAGTTTCTCAGTATGCAACTATTCGAGTCTACTGTGATGATCTTGACGAAGGAAAATTCAGCTTTCCTATTATACATGCTATTCAAAGTCATCCGGAGGATAATCGTCTTTTGAGTATCCTTTGTTACAATATTCCACACTTAGTAAATGTATTGAAAATCAAATCGGAAAAAAACTATTTTCTTAATTCTTGTGTTAGATATGTTAAAAAGCAGACCTTTGACTATCGAAAATAAGAAGAACTTTGTAGAGATATTGGAAAGTTTTGGAAGTTTCGAATTTAGTCGTAACGTGTTAGAAGATTTGAAAAAAGGGATACTTGAGGAAGTTATCAAAATGAAACTGGATAAAAATATACAACTAGAACGAGTTCTTGAAGATATATTCACCCATTTAGAAACTGAAATTTTTGCAGATGGTTGCGACTAAATTTGAGCATAGTCGTTACATGTCTCGCTAAAGTAATAGTTTACGAAAGAAATATTGAGCTTATCCTTACTTAAAAAAATTATGAAAAATTCCCAAATAATTACCTATCTCAGTACAGTACACGTATATCTTCACTTAGATTTAGGCTGCCAGTGGTGGTGGTTCTTCTGGGTATATTAGTAGTTGGTTCTCTGCATTTAAACTAGATAGAAAATATGGTTTAGCCAAGAGTTTATCTGATCACAATTACATTAGTAAAGATCTCTACAGTTTGTTCCCTTTATTAAATAAATATACAAATCAATATCTGCTCTGCATTTTTCTTTGTAAGTTCCACACAACAAAGTCTTTCTTGTTTGTTATCAAAACACTGAGGTGTGTTGCTTCACCAATCATCATTATTAGCTGAGTAAAAGCAAATAACACAATCAAAGCAAATAACAGATAAGTCAACAAAGTTTGCATCTTTGTCCAGTTTTTAAGATTCGTTCCTTTATCCAATAAACCATGAATCATTAACAAATTTTACTGACGAAGACCACATTTTTTCCATAAATCTGAGAATTCATCTAAATTTACGGTTTGGTTTGACCTCATATTCATATCTGTATCTCAATGAAAGTACCGCATCTGGCTGATACGGTTCTTATAATTAAGTAATATATTTTTTAGTGGCAATTTCACCTTTCTCCAATTCAGAGAAATAAAATTACAGAAAATTATGCTACGGCAATTTTGACTAAATCATATAGATTAGTTCTCTGAAAAAAAAACCTATAATTCGTGCTTGAAAACTTTTGTTTACAACTGATCCGTTAAAATACCATAAGTATACATATATCTGCAATTAATATATTATGAGAGACCAGTATATAAAATAAAATAATTCCCGGAATAAAATATGACGTTAATTTCCAAGTATAGTAAAACAACATATTATACGAAATAAAAAAAATAAAAATCAAATACTGGATTTTTCATAATCATTTACATGTCCAATTAAATAACATCAATTTGCATTAACTGTGTATAAATAACTTAATAACTATGCAGTGTAAATCATTCACTTGTCGTCGTTTTTAATTTTTGTAACTCCTTCTATTAATTTAATCAACCTTCTGGGTTTTTTAAGGTCAACGAAAACTAACTAAATCATTCTTTTCTTGTTACGTTTCGGCTCCCGGTCTTCTTCAAACTTTAATAAACAATCATGTTAGAATTTAATTATTACTTTTTAAATTTAAGGTATGCACATCCGCGATTTTCTGCATTTTACCTTTTCGTAATTTCTGCTAGACATTCAGCTACTAACTTCGGCTTCTTAATATACATATACTCGTATATCTTCCCAAGTTGTATCATTTAGATACTCTGTCGTGATATCAAACTGATGGATTTTCAGATCCAACTGAAAATATGTATAGACCAAGTAATATTCCTACAGGGTTCAGACCGGCAACAGGGACCAAGGTTTCGTGGAAGTTCACTCCTGATTGTTGAGTGAACGCTGTCGCGACTATTCGAGCTTTTCCCGTTTCAATCTCACCATTCGCCTTGCCTTTATTTCTGTGTCCACAGTGCCCTACCATTCTTCAGAATCGGGTCCATTCAGTACATGATTCCATGAAATTTCGAGCATACGAGCGAATTTTGATTCTATTTCAGAATCATTTTGTCTTGGATTATTTTCTATATCCACTATGTCGATTCCTTCAGGAATTCTATGCAGATGGAACATACACGTCCCCATTATTAATTTTTTCGGATTTTATACAAACTGGGTATCCATCCGCAATAACTCTTGGCTGTCGCACCATATCCGACGAAAATTCTTTTATGTCACGTGGATCTAATTTCCCCTTTCTTGGATTCTTATTACACACGGACGCTTCTTCCCCAAAAATTTTAAGGTAATCCACAGTCGGTTTCCCATTCTTCAATAATTCGAACGAAGTTTTCTATCGTATTGCATTCGATATAAGGTACACATAGAATTCACCACTGTTATTTCATTGCCAACATTTTACCTTCAGACACGTTTGCATTTCCACAAGTGTCTTAAACGCCTTGAATTTCTTAAAAACTTCACACTTTTCTCAAAATTTTTTCTTTGATCCATCTCAAAAAATCGTCTCCGATAGATTCTAACCTCATAAAACCACAGCTTGTACCAATAGAACAGTATCTTTTTTGCAAGCAAATTCATCATATCCAATCTTCTTTGATGTCCTGACTGGACAAAAGAACCTGACATGGGAAAATCGGGTGATGCCATCTACTTGGATTTCTCTAGGGCGTTTGATAGTATGCCCAAACGTCATTTGTCGTTAAAGCTCCTCTATTTAGGTATCCGAGGAAATGTTTACCAGAGTGTAACACTCCCAGAACACCTCGTGGTCGGATAGACTTTCTCCGCCTTTATTAAATGAAGCCGTCGTATTTTTTTTATGGGAATTTTTGCGAAAACGGAGATGTCATTTCTGTTGAATAATGGTTTATTATGCCGTCCTTCGTATCCAAAATTCCTAAATTACCCCGCAATATACATCCACACCATAAAATTCCCTAAAACTCCACTTTAGACAATAGAACCCAAAAATGATGTGTTGTTTAGAGGTATAAAATTGAAACGTTCTTGATCGAAAGCCATTAAACACCAGATGTCAATCTTTGACGCGGAATTCATTCTTAAAGAATGATGCATTTCCTTAATTGTGGAACTGATTATTGCATATACATAGAAGATAATGCGTCAAAATTCCGGGGGACGGACATTGACAGTCCGAAATTTCGCCAATAACGCGTGAGGGTGGCGTGCCTCGGTGCTAAGCCTTGGGCCGACTTCTGCTGCGGAAACACGTCTGGCCGACCTAGACGCATGCTGACAACTTCAAGCCACCGGGTCGGCAGCGGCAGTTGCTCGGGCGCCAGCTCCCTCTCAAGAGGAAGGAATGTCGGGGTTGCTCTAAAGCCGAAGACACGAATCTCCAAGAGAATAAAATAAAACGGAAGGAAGTTTTAAACAATAAAGCGGATTTATTCCCTGCCACCAGCTACACTGCTAAAATAATATTAAATAACTACAAAATAAACTTTACAAAATAAAAAGAATAAAACGACCAGCACGGTCGTTCCCTCCTGAACGGCAACTTCCTTTAGGACGGGCTCCTCCTGGACCTGGGGGCGGCGACTCTGGAAAGGGAAATCGCGCGGGGACGGTGCTGCGTCCCGGGAGGGGAGCTTGGTGGCGGCACACGACGTGTGCTCGATAGTTTCGGCTGTTTGCAGTGACGAAGAAAAAAACGGTCACGGCGGTTTTTCGCTCAGGAGCGGCGATTTAAAATCGGTACACGAACCGGCAGAAAACCCAAAACAATACTTACAGTGGTCGGTTCTCATAGGGCTCTACACTTCTCACGAACTACACTTTTGGGGAAAACGGCCACAACACATTCAAACCCTTCAAGACTTCCAGAAGGGATCCCTCTTTTTCGGCAGCCTCGGCGCGACTCTTGCGGATTTTTGCCCCCCAACTCTCTCTTAGTTTCGGCCAAACAGATTGTCTCACTTCCGATCTTGTAAAGATATCACTTCGAGCCCGGGTTGAAGAAATTAGCCAATAAGTTCCGACGTGGGATAATCTTAATTAGGGTTCGAGCATAGGAAATTTTCAACGTTGTACATGGCCGTAAAGTACCCCTTCAAAGTAAATTATGTATGTTTTTCTGTTTGTTGCTTGTACGAGAAGGATGTTCTTCCATTCTTTTCTACAACCCCTTTTCGCGGTTTCCTCGCAAAATTAGTTAATCTGTAGCCTGGTGTCGACGATGAACGGAAACAAACTTTCCCCGAAAAAGTTAAGAGCAATGAATTGTGATAACCGGATCACAATAAAGCATTGCATTTTATTTTATTTTCGATGTTGTAATTCACATTTGGTTAATTATAACTTATCTAGGTCTAGGGGAGACAAAATTTCTTTAAGCCTGGCCAGCTCTAGCTGCGGCCCTGTCTAAGGGTCATGAAACGTCGAGAAAATATAAAAATACGAGTCCCCGTCTGTTTGTCGCCCCAAAACAGAGGATTAAAATTAACAATTATGCCACAATCGAACAAAATGTTCTGAATATTATTATTATTATTATTATTTAATAATTACAGAATAAAGACGTGCGTGTTCTCATATTTTCGAGAAGATCGGGTGACTCATTCCTAATTTGTTTAATAAAAAATTAGAAAGTGATTGATTTTGTTAAATTTATTTGATCTAATGAAAAAGGGAGGTAAGCTGGGTAGACAGATATATTTTGATTAAAAATTTACCATGCTTGGAGTAACCTTGAAACGTCTGCAAAATTTCAAAACATTCGGTTTTGCAGGTCCTGGTGTAATCCATAAAATAAAATGACTCATTCATGAAGTTTTTGAGTCACCTTGTATATTCCAATCATCATATTTTTCAGATTTTCGATAGGATTAGTCAAAATTTTGTAACGATTTCATCAAAACATTCGGTTTTGCAGATTCAAAATTAAATTGTAAAATATTGTTACTATTTGTCTACTTAGTTTAATAGGTCGATTCTGTAACAATCAGTTAACATTATGTTATTTTAAATTTCTGTTATTAAAATTGCTATGTTATCACGACGTTAACATAAAACAAGAAATATCGTATTCTCTAAACCGTTATGTTAGTACTTAAATAACAGATGTGTCATTTGTTCGAAAATGTTATTTTTCGAAGTAATGATACCATTTTCATCATCTGTCACTGTCAAACAAATAATTACATCAAGAAAATTTGTTTTTTCATAAAAAACAGGCATTAAAATTTTACTAATTAGGCGACAAATTTTCATGGCCCTGCTAACCGATGGTTGACTCATGACCAACGCGCGGAATTGTGTTTCATACGCTCGATCCAGTGCTGTCGCGGCGATAGTTTGATTACAAATATATTTTTCTTTTGGACTATATCAACATAATATAACATTTCAAGATCACAAATCTGTGGTCATGTGTTTGAAAAATTAAAAAGGGCATCGAGTATTTTTATTTGAAGTAATATAGTAATATAGAAGTAGTTTTTTAACAAGCTGTAAACACTCCAAGCGACGCACTGGCTACGACCTTGTGGACCAGATCAAAGCGTCCCCGCTACTCGCCGTAAAACACACCTTGCTTCAACTGGGGAATTGCATCCGTAAGATATTTTTCCGCCCAGTGCTCATGACAGTAGAAGAAGACATTCTTTTCCTAAGCAGTGTTGGTATGAGCCATGGCCTAAGAAGTTCAATGTGGCTAACATTTTTAAGTATCCAGGAATACCATTGGCACGTAGATTTCCCAAATGAGGTTGCAACCTCTGCAGTAAGAAACGGGTCACATTTTTGCTGAAACGAAAGGACTTTCTAAATTCCGTCTCTATTAAACTTTCAAAGGGTTTTTGATTGTCGCGAAGTTCCCTCCGCCGAATTCTCATCATGTTCCTATAATACATGCATTGTTATATTTTTAGTAATACTATGATATGAAAGACTTATCGTTGAATTTCGTCTTCTAATAATAATAAATAACCGAACACGGGTAGAAAATCATCCACTTCTGCCATTTTAACTTCTTTTGCCACCGCAGTCAAATTTGTGATATTATTAATTAATAAACGTTAAAATAAGCGTATTATGTTAATAACTAACGCGCGGAATTGTATCTCATACGCTGGAACCAGTGCTGTCGCGGCGATAGTTTGATTACAAATATATTTTTCTTTTGGACTATTTCAACATAATATAACATTTCAAGATCACAAATCTGTGGTCCTGTGGTTGAAAAATTAAAAAGGGCATCAAGTATTATTATTTGAAGTAATATAGTATAATAGAAGTAGTTTTTTTACTTGCTGTAAACACTCCTGGCGACGCACTGGCTACGACCTTGTGGACCAGATCAAGGCGTCCCCGCTACTCGCCGTAAAACACATCTTACTTCAACTGGGGGATTGCAGCGGTGAAATAAATTCCCGCGCACTGTTAATAACATTGACTCAAATGTGTCTGTTATTTTACAGAGTATTTTAATAACATAATGTTATTAACATAACAGAAACAAGCTTAGCGAATTGCAATTTATGTTAAATATGTTATTACATAGCAACAACATAATGTTAGCTGTGTTTACATAGTGATAGCAGAATGTTATTAACATAACAAGTTACAGAATCGATCTATAAATGTAACATTTAAATCACTGTTATCGACCAGAACTGCCAAACTGGTATACAATTAAATATTATTGTTACCTTATGTTATTTTCGAGATGGATCTATCAACAATAAAGTTCATTTCATTTAAAATTAGGTTAATAAAATATACGATATTACGTATTTTTATTTTAGAATCTACCGGATCTTTAGTGTGGGTAATTCTGTTGTTAAAACTATTTGCCAATAAACAGCATATCGAATTTGATATTAACTTCTTGGATAAAATAGGTCTTTTTATACAAGTATACGACGACTACTTAAATTTACACAATCCCAAGGTAACGTAAATATTTGCACCTACCTAAATTGCGTTGACCGGTTTTTTAGTACGCAACAGTACGCATCTTCTGCGACGACCTTGATGAGGGAAAATTAAGCTATCCTATAATTCATGCCATTCGAAGTCCTCGAAATGATCATCGACTTTTGAGTATCCTTGTACAAAATAACCTATTAACGGAAAACAGATGAATTTATGTAGTGAATCTATTTGAATTTAAATCTGGCGCCAGATCTTTTGACCTCTCGAGAGAGTGGAGCGCCCTCTGGAGGGACGCGCTGGAGAGGGAACGGTTGTGTTAAGGGTACGAACCTGTGGTACGAACGTGTAGCCATTTTATTCAATATAAAGTATTAAATAAATTTATGGAAATTTTATGAGTACTGCCCCGCCATCAAGAATATCGAGACCCTTCCGACAAATTTCAGAAGTGGGATCTGCACTTGTTTACCCAAGAAAATCATTAGGAAGGACTGAAAGATTTGTGAAGAGAAGACAGAAAAACCACGCTATTCAGAACAAAGAAGATGACGGATGAAAATCCATCTCGTGCGGAAATTACCATGGACGAGATAATATCCACGTCAGTACGAGCTATATTATTGCACGAAGAGGCCCAGAGACAACAAAGGACCCAACCAAGCAGTCAGATAAAAAATTCTGAACTCAGTGCATTGTTACCAGAATTTAAAGGGCACGAGGACGACGGAGATCTATGGATTCAACGGGTGGATGCAATCCAAGAATCATACGAAGTTCGTGATGAGGTGATCAAGTTGGTGGCAGTAGGAAAACTTACTGGTCAAGCTCAGAGGTGGTATTATTCCAAAGTAGACTTTATACGCATGCCATGGGACGAACTGAAAACAGAATTCAAGTCTATGTTTATATCACGACCCAATAAAGTGTTATTGATGAAGAAATTCGAAAGTCGGAGATGGCGTCGAACTGAGAAATTTTCTAATTATTTCTCAGACAAAGTTCTTCTAGGTAACCAAGCTGGTGTTGGTGAGGAACTAATGTTAGAATATATTATCGATGGATTTGAGAATCCTACTTTGCAAAGTCAAGCTAGGATGCAGGAGTTTGCATCAACCGCGGACCTCTTGCGGGTTATGAAAAATGTGACCAATGAAGATCGGGCTACAGTAGCTTCGAACACCAATTATGCACCAAAGAGAGCAACAATGCCAAACAGAACAGAAGGAGCTGCGACGACTGCTGGAGTTAGTACAATGAGGTGTTTCAATTGTAATATGGTAGGACAACGAGCAGCAGAGTGCCGAAAAGCGAAGAGGAACCCAGGTACCTGTTTCATTTGTGCTAGTGCCTCTCACCAAGCAAGGGAATGTCCCCAAAGGAAGAGACCAGCCGAGATTACCTCTGCCCCGGCAGACTCCACTACTCACCTGGTTGCCCATGGAACAGTTCTAAATCCTGCTCTTACCCTGCCAATTAGCCTGAAGCTTCGACCTGAGGATAAGTACAAGATTTTATTAGATGCATTGGTTGACAGTGGTTCCCCGATATCACTGCTACGTTGTGATATAGTACCGGATATTCAGTGTGAAAAGGCCCAACCGAACGAGTATTTTCAAGGGGTAAATGCATCACCAATAGTAATTAAAGGAACAATGACTCGAGCTGTTACTATTGCTGGCGTTGAAATGACCATAAAATTCTTTGTTGTTCCTGAAAATACTATCAATCAACCTTGCTTAATTGGTCGAGACGTCATATGCAGTGGTGACCTTGAGATTAATATTAAGAAAAATATTGTAGTTAGTCCAGTAGTAAGGGTAGAGGAAAGTAAGGGATTTCCGAAAGAAATACTGAATATTGATGTTATGAACTTTGAATCTGATTTCCATAGCAATAATGTTAACCTTAGTATTGATAGTTCAGTAGATTATGCAACACAAGCCAAATTAAAGAGTGATTTTGTTGAGTACTATGTCGAACCTGAAAGACTATCTCAGCCAATCTCAGATATTAAATGTAAAATTCGTGTAACCTCCGATCAACCATTTTCATCAAGGCCTCGTCGTCTTTCCCATGCAGATCGGGAAGAAGTTTCTAAGATTATTAACGACTTGTCAGTTAGGGGTATTATTCGTAAAAGCACTTCAGAGTATAGTTCACCTATCGTTCTAGTTAGTAATAAAAATAAAAAGCGCATGTGTGTTGACTATAGAGTTTTAAATAAAGCTACTCTTCGAGATAATTATCCGTTACCTCTGATAGAAGATCATATAGAACAGTTAAGAGATAAGTCTTGCTTTACTTCTTTAGACTTAAAGGATGCGTTTCACCAAGTAGATGTTGATCAAGAATCCATTAAATTTACTAGCTTTGTAACACCTGTTGGTCAATATGAATATTTAAAGATGCCATTTGGTCTTAAAAATTCACCCTCGTGTTTCATGAGATTTGTTAACTCTGCCTTTCGAGATCTGATTGATAACAGAAAGATTCTTATTTATATTGATGATATTTTAATAGCAACATCCAGTGTTGAAGAAAATTTGGTAACTCTCAGAGATGTTTATGGAGTCCTTGTTGCAAACAAACTTGAGTTAAATATTGAGAAATGTCGCTTTCTCTGTAATCGGATTGTTTACCTTGGTTACGGAATAGATAAACTGGGTATCAGACCTAATGATGAAAATATCAGTGCTGTAACAAATTTTCCGATTCCCACAAATTTTAAAGCGTTGCACTCATTTCTAGGTCTAGCCTCATACTTTCGCCGTTTTATTGAGGGATTTTCGATTCTTGCAAAACCCCTGTACGATCTACTTAAACAAGAAAGGAAGTGTACCATGGATTTTCGTTTCGGTTCTTTACAGTTGGAATCTTTTGAGAAAATTAAGACAAAGCTTGTTAACAAACCACTGTTGAGAATCTATTCGCCAAGATTAGAGACTCAACTTCACTGTGATGCCAGTTCCCATGGTTTTGCTTCCATTCTTGTGCAGAAGCAAGCAGATGGCCATTTCCATCCTGTATTTTTCTTTAGCAAACGAACAAGCCCAGCAGAGGAGAAATTTCATAGTTTTGAGCTAGAAGCTCTTTCAATTGTTTATTCGTTGCAAAGATTTCGTGTTTATCTTCAAGGGATAAAATTTACTATAGTCACTGATTGTAATAGCTTGAAACTTACACTGGAGAAAAGGGATATTAACCCTAGAATTTTGCGGTGGTCGTTAGTGCTCCATAATTTTGACTACCAGTTAGAGCATCGAAAAGGCGAACGAATGCAACATGTAGATGCACTGAGTCGCTGCATTAACGTTCTTGAAGAGAATACGTTTGAAAGAAACCTATCTCTGATGCAGTGTCGTGACCCTTTAATTCAGAACCTTAGAGACACCCTAGAAACTGAAGAACTGCCGCGGTTTGAATTAAGAAATGGTTTAGTTTATAAGAAAGTCGGTTCTAGATTATTATTTTATGTGCCACAGCGTATGGTTAGCAATGTAATAAGAACTTGTCACGATGATGTAGGACATGTTGGTCTACAGAAAACTCTCGATTTGATTATGAATCATTACTGCTTTCCGAATATGCATTCTATTGTGAAAGAACACATTGGAAACTGTCTGAAGTGTATTACTTATGCTCCGAAATGTGGAAAAAGGGAAGGTCTTCTTCATCCCATACCAAAAGGTGAAGTTCCCTTCATTACGTTACATGTTGACCATTATGGCCCACTGGAGAGGACATCTCGCCAGTATAAATATATTTTTGAAGTTATTGACGCATTTTCAAAATTTGTCAAGTTTTATCCATGTAAAACTACTAATGCGAGTGAAACCATTAAGTACTTGAAGTCATATTTCCATAATTACAGTCGACCTAGGCGCATTATTGCTGATCGCGGTTCAAATTTTAGGGCTAACGAGTTTTCGGATTTTTTGAGAACTATGGACATCCAGCTAATCCTTATTGCGAAAAGTACGCCACGAGCTAATGGGCAAATTGAAAGGTTAAATAAAGATCTGACTCCTATGATTGCAAAATTGGCACCGTCAACCAATAAATGGGATACTGTTCTGGAAGATGTCGAGTATGCCATCAATAATACTCGTTGCCGATGCACAGGTCAATATCCTTCGGTATTACTTTTTGGTGTCAGACAAAAGGGGAAAATCAACGACTCCTTGCTTGAATTTCTAGATTTCCCAACTTCAGAACGTGACTTAAATAAAATTCGAGAAGCAGCTGCAGAGAGAATTTCAGTGGAACAAGAGTACTCAAAACGACATTATGACAAATCTCATAAACCTGCTAGACATTATGAAGTTGGCGATTATGTTATGTGTACAAATTTTGATGTAACTCCCGGGGTTAATAAGAAACATCTACCTAAATTCCGCGGACCTTATGAAATAAAAACAGTATTAGGAAATGATAGATATTATGTAGAGGATATCGAAGGTTTCCAGTTAACTCAAATACCCTACAAAGGTGTTCTGGCCGCCTCAGATATGAAACCTTGGCTATCTCCTTAAGATAACTAATTATAATAATTATGTTTATATATCACTCAAATTATGAACCTATTGATGTAGAAAATTTTTGGAACTTATGAGTTTTTTTTTGCCCCAATGTTATGCTTACATATGTTTTATGATTAGTAAACCCATTATGACTAGAATTTTGTTTTATGACTACCTGTTATTCCTATATTTTATGTTTACGACCTTTTATGTTTGGTGACAGGTTGTACCTGTAGTTTTAGATTACGTTTTATGTTTTGTGTCTACTCCCTGTTGATTGCGCGCTATATTTTATAATTATAATTTATGATTAAGTTTTGGCGACCAGTTTTATAATGTTGTATTTGCTTATGGTTAGTTTTAGCTTAGGATTTACAAGTTGGCATGGTATTTAAATTTCTCTCCTTGATCGAGACGATCAAATAGTCAGGAATGGCCGAATTGTAGTGAATCTATTTGAATTTAAATCTGGCGCCAGATCTTTTGACCTCTCGAGAGAGTGGAGCGCCCTCTGGAGGGACGCGCTGGAGAGGGAACGGTTGAGTTAAGGGTACGAACGTGTAGCCATTTTATTCAATATAAAGTATTAAATAAATTTATGGAAATTTTATGAGTACTGCCCCGCCATCAAGAATATCGAGACCCTTCCGACATTTAAAAAAATTTAAACCATATTTTCTTAACTCTTT